TTTAATTTATTTATATTGAGACAGAGTCTCACTATGTAGTCCTGGCTGTCCTGGAACTTGCTACATAGACCAGGCTGGCCGCAAACTCACAGAGATCCACCTGCCTCTGCCTCCCAAGTGCTGGGATTAAAGGCATGTGCCACCACTCCATTATGTGTATGTGTAGTGCCTCTATTTACATATGTGCTCCATGCGCACACCTGGTGCCCACAGAGATCAGAAGAGGGTATCAGAGCTCCCATAACTGGAGTTATTGGCAGTTGTGAGCTACTATACAGGTACTGGGAACTGAACCCGGGTCCTCTGCAAGAGCAGAAAGACTCAGTCCCAGAGCCTTCTCTCTAGTCCCTATTTTTTGAGACAGGATCTCTTACTGAACCCAGAGCTTGACAATTTGGCTAGAATGGTTGACCGGTAAGTTCCAGGGATCCTCCTGTCTTTGCCTTGAATGCTGCTAAGCCTAGCTTTTTCCTCCTCCTCCTCTTCCTCCTCCTCCTCCTCCCTTTCCCCCTCCCCCTCCTCCCCTTCCCCTCCCCCTCCTCCCTCTTCTTCTATGTGAGTCAAATTCAGACATCATGCTTATGTGGCAAGTACCTTACCAACTGAGCCATCTCCCCAGTTCCCATGGAGATTTCATATGTGTATGTGCCTATGGGCACATGAAGCAAGGAGATACAGGATGTGTGTAAGTTTCTCCCAGCCCTATCTACTGAGGACCTGGAAGCAACAGGCACACCTAGTGCCCAGGTTTCTCAACACCCAGAACTCTGACAGCTTCTAGTGTTATGAATATGGCTCCATCTCTCATCAGAGTCATTAATTTCCATACTGGAATGGAGGGAATCCTCCAGGGTCTCTGACCCTTTGTGGGGTACACCATTCTTATGCTTCATGCAGGTAACACTGGCCCTCCTGCTTGGAGCTGCTGCCCTGGCTCCTGAGCAAACCAGGCCCTTGTCATGACCCTTACCCCCCAATGGTTCCCAGGTATAAGCTCACCTCCCATCATATGAGGTGTCTGGGCTCAAGACAGAAGTGATCAGAAAAGAGGTGCTGAGGTGAGGGGATAAAGTTGGGATTCTGCAGAGTCAAGGACTTGTGATGGGGAGTACAGAGGACGAGGACCCTAGACAATTCCTCTGGGTCCTTTAGACAGCCCACCTCCTAACTCCTAAAGAGAGATGATAATGCTCCAGAAGGGAGTGAAGTGCAACTCATAGGAGTCCAAGCACACAGCCCCTGAAAGGTCTCACGCCCAACTCAGGGGCAGTATCCACCCTTCTTCATTAAATCATTCACATCTGTAGGTTACTTGACTGAGGGCAGAAACCTGCTGTGGGTGCTGCTTAAAACCAGGAGAGCAGGACACTCCTACTGGATGGAAAGGATCAAGGATCTGGCCCAGCACCAGGCACATGGTGGCCAGGGGCAGCAGACCTTAGAGCTGGGGCAGTCAGAAGCGACCCCAACTCCCCTGGTGGCTTGTTTCATAGTGGCCAGAGGCCCTTAGGCTGTGCTGTGCTGGGGAGCGGCAGGGCCTATTCCTCTTCCTTAGGAATAAGCACCCTCAGGGGTCCCACTGTGCTCAGGTAGAATAATGACGGTACTCACACTTGGGAGTTGTGTGATCATCGAGAGAAAGGCCAAGTGGACCGGACCGAAGGAGAAAAGAAGACCCAGGTAGACTTGAATCTTTACTTACAGAAAAGCGACAGAGCCAGAGGCCCACCAGTGTAGGGGGCTTCAGCAGGGTACCTGGCGGCGGGAGCACAAACACGGAATGGGGGGCATTGGGCGATGCGCTGGTCACAGGAGCTGGCTGGGGATGCTGTGAAGTCAGAAGGGCCAGGTTGAGAGAGGGCAGAAGGCTGGTGTGCAGGGAGGGCACAGAAGCCACGACTGGTGCACAGACCCGGAGGGAGGTAGCCGCGAGGGAGAACGCTGGCACCAGGCAGGCTTCCGGGGCGGTCTGGGAGTCCAAGGCGGGGAAGGGAGGGCGGGGCTGGGTTAGCTAGGCGGGCTGGAGGGGGAGGCCTGGGCGTGACCTCCGCGAGTCTTCCAGCCCCTAGCGAGGCGCTCGCACCTACCCTGGCCGCTGGCAGCGACGTGGCCATCACAGGGGGGCCTGGGACGCCGCGCCTCCTGCTGCCTTCAGCGAGTCTTCCTTCTGTCCCGCGGCCGAGGGCTTCCCTGGAGGCTCGGTGCCCGCTGCCCCTGCGGCCGGCACGGCCACCGCGGCGGGGGTGGGACCCTTGTGCTCCTCTTTGGAGGAGCGGTAGCTGCCCCCCCAGGCCGCGGGCATCACCGTGCCGTGCTTGCGGCTCAGCGGATAGGCCCCGATGGCTGCCAGGATGCTGCGGTGGCGCTCAGGGTCCATCTCGGTGTAATACATCTCGAGAGTGAGCGGAGTGCAGATCTTGTGCTACAGTAGGGGCAGGTCCGGGAGGGCGAGGAAAGTGGAAGGACGCAGAGGGGACCCGAGTGAAGGAAGGGGAGAAAGTAGGGAGTTAACTAAATAGCCACAAACCCACCCCTGGAGTCAGAGGGCAACAGCCCCTAGGCTCCTAGGCGACCGCAGGACTGCAGGAAGGGGAGGGAGCTGCCAGTGAGGTGCAGCCTAGAACCCTGCTGAGTGGAACCCTGGAAAGTTCACTCATCCCAGTGTGGTGGGGCATGCCTGCTATCCCAGCACTGGGGAGGAGGATGGATGTGAACTGGAGGTCAGCCTGGTCTAAAAATCCCGCCCGCCCCCCCTCACGGCCTCCATGGGCACTTCCATCCCAGAAACCAGGGTGTTAAGGAAAAAGCAGAGATACTACTTCTGAAAAAAATGAAGAGCTTTAAAAAAATACATTAGGGGCTGGGGAGATGGCTCAGCGGTTAAGAACACTGGCTGTTCTTGCAGAAGACCCAGGTTCGAATCCCAGCACCCACATGGCAGCTAACAACTGCCCAGGGGATCGACAGCTTCTTCTGTCCTCCGCGGGCATTGTACAGCACGGGTGCACTTACTTACACGCAGGCACAACACTCATTCACATAAATAAAAAAATAAATTAAATATTTAAAAAATACACTAAAATAACCATTATTAATGGAGTTGATATTTTTAAAATGGAAGGAAATATTTGCTAAATATATAGAAAGCACTAATGTCAACATTGCGTTAAAAACTTCTGATAAGGGGCTTGAGAAATGGCTCAGAAATTAAGCGCACTGGCTACACTTCCAGAAGGCTCAGGTTTGGTTTGCACCCACACCATTGCTAACAGCCATCTGTAACTCCAGTTCCAGGGATCAGTCATCCTTTTCTGACCTCTGAGAGTTTGCATCCATGTGGTACACTTACATACATACCCATAAAACATTCATACACATAAAATAAATAATTAGTTAATTTAAAAAACCCTCTGACAAGTCTAAGGCAAAGACAAAGTACCCAGTGAAGAAACTTGTCAAGTGCAGATAAGGCTCCTCCCAAGGGGCTAAGGGACCGGGGACCTTTCTGTTCTGCCCGTACCTCCAACCTCCAGTTTAGATAAAACAAGAAGATAAAATATCTTTTCTTTCTTCTTGATATTAAATTTTATTTTGTGTGTATCTATGACTGTGAGTGGACCAGAGGAGGTCTCCTTGAGATAGGATCTCTCACTGAACCTGGAACAAGCCTTAGCAATCCTCCTGTCTCGTTTCCCCACAGTAGGTGGGGATACTTGGCTTTTTACATGGGTCCTTTGGGTTTGAACTTGGGACCTCATGGTTTTTTTTTTTTTTTTTTTTTTTT